GGGGGCAGAATGTGATCTGGAACAGTGCCATCTATGCCCCTATGTTGTAGATTGCTCTGGCCACAGCCATCGTCTTCCTTGAATCTTGGATAAGAAGAAACAACCCCTCAAGTGCCCAGCTCTCTCAGTGCTTTTTCTTCAGGCCCCGACTCCTGGAGACTAGTGGTTACGTCAGAAGCGCGGCTTCCATTTAATTAAAAATAATTCCTAGTCCCGGATGCAGAGGGGAGTTAGAAAACACGACTGTGACTTAACGGCTCAGAAACCAGCCCGCAAAGAAATTGTAAGGCTCAGGCTTTGTAAGCCAAGCGGGGGTGGTTTTGAAAGGCCTGGCTTGCAGCATTTTGAAGGGTGGAAGCTGGCAGATCTCTGAAAGCCAGGAAGGGCCTCCGGGCGAGGTGCCATGTCTGCTGTGTGCAGATGCCCCGGTGGCGGGGGGCACTGTGGCACCCTGCGCAGGCCCTGGGCTAGAAAAAGGGCACTGGCAAGTGTGGAAAACAAAGGTGATGGCTTGGCCGCCGTGTAGAGAGAAAGGGGATGGCTGGGGGCTCTCCCAGCGCTGCGGGAGGGGACAAAGAAGATGCCAGGGGACACATCGGCTCCCCAGGGCAGCGCTCGGGGCTGCAGGTGCCCGTCCCGCCCGAGACGCAGGCGCGCCGGGGGGAGTCCCCCCCCGTGCTGTGCTGCACTGTGGGTGCGGGGCCGCCTCCCCCGGCGCAGCGCGGTGCACTGCACCCCGCGCCTGGCTCCTTCATTGCGCCACTTTGCATGTTACCTCTTTCCTCCCCTCCCATTGCACGGCGCCCGTGCTCATTTGCATACTATTAGGATCTCAGCCAATCAAGCGCCAAGCAGGGCAGAGGAAAGGGAGTGGCAGGGGGCGCATGCGCGGCTGCAGCCGCCTTGTGCTCAGGCTTTTATTGCTAAAGGATCCTGCCCCCCCCCCCCCTTTGGTCTAAGTCTGGGGCTGGGCTTGGAGCAGAGGGAAGAAAGGGAGACTCGCAGGGGTTGCTGCTTCTCCCCGTTCCTGCGGTTTGCAAAGAGCAGGACAAGCCTCATCGATTGCACTTTTCCAAGTCTGCAGAGCCAGGAGCTCCCTTTTGCTTTGAGCTGCAATTCTTCTCCTTTTTATTTTTCAATAATAAAACTATTTGCCACTAGGAGGAAAAAAAAAAAAAAAAGAACAAATCGACCCCAGTTTTGATTGTGGGGGGCTGTTTCCCAAGATGTCTTATCAGGGGAAGAAAAATATCCCACGGATCACGGTGAGTTTAGTTGTGTGGTGGGGGGGAGGAGGGAGCAGATGTGGGGATTAAGCCCTTTGTGTGCTTGGGAGAAGCTTGCAGGGGTTTTGTAGCAAGGTAATCAGATCAGGGGCTGATGCAAAGACTTCCTTTTGCTGCAGCAGGGATTGAAGCCTTGGGGGAAAGGGTGGGATGAGGCTAACAATCGGTTTTTGGAAGTTGCCATAGTTAATAAAAGTCGAAACCGGATCTAGCCTTGCATTGCCATAAGGCAGGGATGCTGCTGCTGCTACCCTGAGCTTGCTTGGAGCCCAGCAAATGGATGGCAAATTTAATATGCATGGCTGGAATAAAGGTCTGAGGAAGCTGTCTCCCAACTGCATGATCTGGATGGGGCTGCTTCCTAAGCCCTGGGAAAAATAGATGGGTGGAAAAATGTATCCATGTCGTGTTTGTTGCAATCCTTTCTGCTGGGAATAGAGAGAAAAGGGGTGGGCGTTTGATCCTGGATGCAGAATGACAGCAGGGGTAGGGTGGGGGGCAGCGGAAGAAGCTAGGTTTTGAAAGGGGTTGTGAGGGAGAGGTTTAAAATAAGAATAAAACAGAGGCTGCAATCGAATTTGAAAATATGGGTCAGGAACAGAAATATCTGCCTGGCAGTGCAGCTTGGAGTGTCTCCCACCTTCCTGGTTTTGGGTGGGGGGACGGGGGAGGTTTTGGCTTGGCTCTGAGGCTTTTTGTATTTTGCTGTTGTGATGGAAGCAGCTTTTCCCCCCGCTTTTCCCATACAAAGAGGACTGTGATTGTGAGGAGCTGGGGACAGCGCTTGTGCTGTTTCTCCAGGAGGTAATGGCGCTGCTTGGATGAGATGAGCAGATGGGGCTCGTTCTTTTCATCTTCCATCCTCCTCCCTGGTGCAGTGAAAACAATGATTAGAAAGGGACTGTGTTTTCTGTGCTGGTACAGGAGAAACTCCCCACACTATTAACATTAGCTTCACGGGTGGAATAGAATTTCTCATCCTCAGGAATATTCTTGCAACGCAATTTAGTCCACTCCTAAATGAAACCCTGAGGGAAAAGGGAAGGAACAGTTATGTAAAAGGCCGTGTTATTTCATTATTCTGGAAACTGATCCCAGCACAGGTATCACAGTTCAACCATATGAACTTTCTGCTGCAGAAGCAAGGCTGTTCCCTTAAAAAAAAAAAAATAAGTGTTATATATATTTTTTTTGATATAAAGTTGAGGAGTTCTCATTATCAGCGTAACATCGTTCCTCTCTTAGATCTGAGGACACACCCATCTTAATTCTTGTTCCTGAGTGTTAAGGGTGGAAAAGCGGGAGGTCTGTGGTACTGGATGGGTGATTTTAAGTGTGGAACTGGGGTTGGAGCTATTTAATTTGGACAACTGTTCAAAAAGCATTTGTGCAGCCCAAAGTATGTTGCAGATTGGAATATGATAAATAGGACTTTTGGCTTATAGACAAAATTAGTGACCTCTCACTAAGAGTCCAGCATCTGAAGGGTTTGTCTAGATGAACATTGCTCCTGGACTGACCATTGCTGTGGTCCAGCAGTAATCCAGTGCATTCTTCCTGTGAATGAACTCTGATTATGAATTGTGTTGGGGTGACTAGAATACCCTTTACAAGACAAAGAATAGAAGAGGAGTTAGGTACTGGTCTAGTTTACTCAGGTATAAATCCAGAGTTACCTTACTCGGTATAAGAGGTCAGATCTGGGCTTCACAGGTAGAGAAATGTTTTACCTGTCAGCATGGTACTTATGCATAAATGCAGTACAGCATCCTTCCCTGCTACGTGTAGACTGCACACACTGCCTGATCCAAAGGGCCATTGGAACAAATGGAAAAACTCCCACTAATTCAGAAGGAGAGGTGTTTATTGGCAGTAGCTTTTTACCGCAGCATAATGTCCAAGGCCCTGTTTTTGTTGGTGCTAGTATATTCGTTCCTAAGTGGTGCTCAGTACATTTAGGGCTTTCCCCTGCTCTCCTTGACATCAGTGACAAAACTCCCATTGATGTCAATGGTAGCGGGCCCTTTAATGGCATGCAGAGGATGTGTTGGGTGGGGATAAACACTGCGGTGATTCTAGAAATGGTGAACATGTAGCATAAGTTGCTGTAGTGTCTGGCGCCAAAAGGCAAACCGGCTTTTCGAGCCCCAGGTCAGCTCATTAAACCTTATTGTCACAGCAGGCCTTAAGTTTAAAATCTTGATTTTGATCTCTTTCCTCAAGCCAAATTCTGTGTTGCCCTTTGCCTAAAACGAGGACCAGAAAATAACATCTCTTAGGATTTTTAAGCAATTAATAGATCAAACAGAGTAAGGGCCTTGAGCCACATCTTCAGCAGGTGCCAATCTTTGTAGCCCCTTTTACTCCGCAAGAACTATGCTGCCATTATTTCAGTTGAGAATCTGGTTGATTAGCTTAAATTTGAATGTTAGCTCCTTTGGGAAGGGGCTGTTTCCTACCAACTGTCTGTACAGAACTGAGCGCAGCGCAGCTGATAAATAGCCCGTGTCTGTGATTATCATTTTAAATTTTATATTCATACAGGCATTTGTAAAAGTCACAGAGTAACTTTCTTGGAATCAGCTTTGGAAAGCCTTGGATTTCACATAAGGACAGTACTGTTAGGCCTTGGGGTTATGAAATGGCATTGTTTTCGTACAGAGAAAATGGGAATAGCATAAAGAGCTTCTTCTCACAGTGTCAGAACACATGTCTAGGAGGCAAGCGGTACCTTGTAAAGGTTGGTAGTAGTAAGCATCTATCTGTCTTCCAAGATGATCGAATTATGACTACAGTAATACAAGGGCCCTTAGAATTAATTACCTGCACACTTCAGTTTTTGGGGAAAATGGATTAACATAATGTTAATATTCCGCTTCCCTTCTTACTCTGAGCTCTTTAGAGTACGTTTTTGGTGTTGTGAATAAATCTCAGTAAAGATGCATTTTTTTAAACCTTAAAATAGCTGCTAAGGCATTATGTGACCTAAGCTAATTTACAAAAAGCAATGTATAATAGCTGCCTTTTTTATAATTACCTTTCTGTTGCTACCAAATTACATTGTAATTTGAGGGAAATTTAATAATATGATGCCTTAAATTCTTCTCTTGAACTTCATTTGCTAATGTATGCTTATTTTCATTTGATTATGCAGTAGCTATATAGAAACATGGTAAAAGCATCCACTAAATTGAATCCTTGCTATAGTTGGATTAAATGAGCTTGTTTGTGTTGTGTAACCCATGGCAACAGACTTTTGGTCAACTTCCCTGACAGCAATTGACTCATAGTTAGCCAAGTAGCAACTTCAGTGTGTGGGTGTGTTTAGGAAATTTTGCCTACAAGGAGGTGAAAAAGGACGTGGATGAAAACTGCTGTCTGTCCTTTGAAATATTATTTAAATAGGTAATGGTGAAAGATGAGGCTTTAATTGGTTGCAGGTACAGTTAAAACAACCAAGTCTTATGAAACCAAACTCCTTTTTAGTAGATAACATACTTTATTGGTGTCTTGGATCTTTAGCATGATGAAAGGACTGTCACACAAAATATTTTATCTTTACAGCTGAAAGTACAGTAATTGACTTGTTTTGTGACATGCATATTGAATAATACAGAGGCTGCTTTCCTTACTCTTTCATCTTCGAAATGATGCCACAAGCTGTCAGTTTTCTTGCAGAATACTTACATATTGTTACATGGTTCTTTGTTTCAGAGCGATCGTCTTTTGATCAAGGGTGGTAAAATAGTTAATGATGACCAGTCTTTCTATGCAGATATTTACATGGAAGATGGGTTGATAAAGTAAGTGCTGCTTGATTCCGTGGTGTGATTGCAAATAGAAATGTTTAAGTCATGCTTTGCAGAAAGGCGAGGGATCATTCAGCCTTGAGGAGCAAAGAAAAATTAATATTTAATGCATGTCCTGATAGATCAGGGAGAAATGCCAAAAACTAAATATTTGAATAAATAAAGCATGAAATTCTCTATTTATAACATAGTCATTGAAGGAAGGTAATTGAACATATGCATATCTTTAAGCACATGCAGTATTCCTCATGCCTAAAGGCAGGCACGTGTTGGATACTATGCTGAATTGCGTCCTAAGACATTCTGAATTGAAGGTATAGTGCACTGGCCTGGGGCCCAGTCTAAAAGCCATTGGAGTCAATGGAAAGACTCTCACTGACTGAGAGGCCTCCTCTCAAGCACACCTTTGTGTTTTTAGTCTTTAAACATGCAGTTCTGGCAAGTGAACTGTATTACAGAGCTCTCTGGAATAACACGCATAGCAAAAAATAAACTGGCCAAAGGTTACCAATGAGGAATTTTGTGTTTCTGGCTATAGTCAGAACATCTGCTTTCTTAATCAAACTAACAGGTTGGAGGAGCCAGTGAAAGACACCTAATTAATTGTAATGTGCCATCTACAATTGTACGTTTAAAAATAAATCCTTTCAATAGCCAGACTGAGGGGCCTTTGGGTCTCCTCAGAAATTTAGTAACAAGCATATGTGCAGGTTTATTTTTGCGCTTGCTGTACATACGTTTTAGTGCATAACCAAATAGATGCGATCCTTACAGAAATTTTTGCAGCCCTTTCCAAGAAGATGTTAAAATCCAAGCCATTGTTACATCCCAGAATAAACTGTGGCATTGCCATGTTCAGATCCCACTGCAGTGAGCTGCAAGATTCCCACTGCCTTCAGTGAGACTTTTGATTGGGCAGAAAAGCAGGATGTGATATGCTGAAGGACAGCTACCCAGCAGTATTATTCAGGCTGTTGCATGGCTTTTGTTATGTTATGTGATGGTGGTACGACAGGTCGTTCATCAAGACCTGTTGATGATTATATTGGCATAGCGCAGCACTTGTGACTGACTTGCTGATTGAAACCTTGTTTACCCAGGCAAATAGGGGAGAATCTGATTGTGCCAGGTGGAGTGAAAACTATTGAAGCCCATGGAAGGATGGTCATACCTGGGGGAATAGATGTCCATACCCGCTTCCAGATGCCAGAACAGGGAATGACCTCTGCTGATGACTTCTTCCAAGGAACCAAAGCTTCCCTGGCTGGAGGCACCACCATGATCAGTAAGACATTTTTGAAATGCATTTGTTTCATGGGGAGTTGGGAGGAGGCTTCATGTAGTATTTTTTTTTTGGGGGGGGGGGGCAGGAAATCACATCTAAAGCAGGGAATTTGAACTGTGGGAGATACAGTGGGATTTACTTCTGTGTGTATATAATCTGCTGATTAGAGCTGGGGGCTGGGAGTGAGAGCTCCAAGGTGCTATGCCTTGCTCTGGGGAGCAGTTTTCCTCTGGGACAGAAGACAAAAGTCTGGGACTCTATTTCCAGCTATGATAAGGGCAGGGCCTGCAGCCTTCAAGTTAGTATGTCATGGCCTTCAGTGGGGACAGGCCACGCTGATGTAACAAAGAATTTGCCTGGGCCTTGCTCCCCTTGAAATCTGAGAGAATTTTGCTGTAAGTTTCCACAGCTGTAGGATCAGCTCCTCATCGTTTCTGTGCCTCAGATGCCATCATTGTGCAAGGGAAACAGCATTCTCATCTTTGTGGGTGTTTGTGCAATGTTATTTCTAAAGGGCCTTGCTATTCCTGAGTGCCAGGTACAGTATAAGTTGACTGGGGCTCACTTTTCACGGTGCATTTTGGGTGGGCTGAATATTTTAGTCCTTGTGGAAGTTACAGGTAGGTCACACAGCTGCAGCACAGAAAGTCACTGCCAGTTGCATGCCCTCTGCACTTCTGAAAGTGAGGCTTCCTTGTGAGGAGCCTAGAGATGCAGTTAGGCATCTAACTTTTTGGGCAACTGAAGCTGCGGGGAGGGGGAATTGGGTCTCACATTTTGCTTGACATAATTAGGCATTTACAAAATCTAGATTTTTTTCTTTTTAAATGGTACACACTGTTTGATCTGGAAGTGAGAGGGAATCAGGAAGTGAAACAGTCTCAGAATAAAGGGGAGGCTGAGTAATGTTATGCAGAAGGCTTAGCTGGTCTAGACGGGACTTGTTTTGAGGTAGCTGTGCCTCAGTAGCTGGGCCTGAGATTCCAGAAGTGGAGTGCTCACGTTGTCATTGCTCAAATGAAGACCAAAGGGGAAATTGAATTGAGTTCAGCCGATGGTCTGTGAATTGTTATGGGACATCCTGCAGTCTCTTATGTGAGATGAGCAGCTTTTGATGTGTAGGCTTGTCTCTGCTAGGCAGTGCACACCAGAGCACATATTTCATTTCACTGGAAAGTTATGGCCTCTCAACACCAATTTCTGTAGCAAGGGGAAATGCATTCTGCAGCCAAATATATGGATGAAGTCAGCACCCTCTATGATCTTATGGGTTGAGGATCAAATACTGGCTGATGAACACATTCTCTCTTCTAGGGACTTGTATGGCTCTCATGCACATAGCATCTGAGCATCTCACAACCTAGGAAGTACAGTATCTTCTTCCCAGTGCTTGAGGGTAGGCCATCCCATTACACTTATTTTACAGCTGAGGATCTAAGGTACAGCAAGATTGAAGGCCCAGGCATTTTTAAAGGCATTGGATGCCTAACTTCGTTTCAGC